ACAACATGAGTGCCAGTCTCTGTGTGTGTGTGCACAGAGGATACACGTCCACATTGACATATCCACGACAGCTCGGCAGCCAGACACAGGCGGACACGTTATGCGTGTTGGCCGTCTGCTTGGGCATGCGTACTGACAGGAAATCACGCAGCCCGACCAGCTTGTTTATGTCTCTGTACGCTGGGATTCTTTAGCACCGTACGTGCACATGCGTGTTGACGGACAGACGGTAAGACAGGCCGACGGGCACACACACACTTACACACACACTCACACACACACACTTACACACACACTAACTTACACACACTCACACACTCACACTTACTTACACACACACACACACACTTACACACACTTTTAAACACACACACACTTTTAAACACACACACACTTACACACACACATACACACACTTACACACACTCACACACTTACACACACACTAACTTACACACACTCACACACTCACACTTACACACACACACACCTACACACACACACACTTACACACACACACTTTTAAACACACACACACTTACACACACACACTTACACACACTTACACACACACAGGCTGGAGAACCGGCGTGTAGGGACGAAGACGACACAGACACCACGCACTGTCATCGACAATGAACCGTGTACTGTACCCCCTGTACGTGAAATGTCTCCTATTATAGAGGGCTTGAAACACACGGTGCCGGATGTAGACACACAAACTACACATTTGTACAATCGTACGTCTACAGATGCACATACGCACGTATCGTGTGCACACGTTGTACATACAGTACACATTCCATCTCACACAAACACAATGACACACAATGCCTCACACACCATTCCTCACACTCACAACCCTCACACACTCACACACCACCCCTCACACACACACTCACACACCACCCCTCACACACACCCTCACACACACACTCACACACCACCCCTTACACACACCCTCACACACACACTCACACACCACCCCTTACACACACACTCACACACCACCCCACACACTCACACACCACCCCTCACACACACACACTCACACACCACCCCACACACTCACACACCACCCCTCACACACACTCACACACCACCCCACAAAGACAAAGATCCCCCGTATAGCCTGAACAGACTGTAGGGGCAAGTACTGTTAGCGAGCACCTATGAAGGCCGGAACGGTACACGAGGGGGTGGGTGGCCAGCACCACGCCCGACCGCCTTTGTCTCCCTAGTGGCGATGTTTACACACCGCACCAGGTACTCATTTAAGGCTGAGTCGACCTAGGGGAGGCCCAGGACCGGTTCAGATAATCGTCATTGGTGTTAGCCGTGAGCGGGAATCGAACCCGGGTCGCCACGTTCATAGCGCAGCGCGCTAACCGCTACACTACCGCTCCCCACTACCACCCCACACACACACTCTCACACACACACACCACCCCACACACTCACACACCACCCCTCAAACACACACTCACTCACACACCACCCCTCACACTCACACACTCACACACCACCCCTCAAACACACACTCACTCACACACCACCCCTCAAACACACACTCACTCACACACAACCCCTCACACTCACACACTCACTCACACACTCACACACCACCACACACACTCACACACCACCCCTCACACACACTCACACACCAACCCACACACACACTCACACACCACCCCACACACACACTCTCACACACACACACCACCCCACACACTCACACACCACCCCTCAAACACACACTCACTCACACACCACCCCTCACACTCACACACTCACACACTCACTCACACACCATCCCTCACACTCACACACCACCCCTCACACACACTCACACACCACCCCACACACCACCCCACACACTCACACACCACCCCTCACACACACACTCACTCAGACACCACCCCACACACTCACACACCACCCCTCACACACACACTCACTCAGACACCACCCCACACACTCACACACCACCCCTCACACACACACTCACTCACACACCACCCCTCACACTCACACACTCACTCACACACCACCCCTCACACTCACACACTCACCATCCTTCACACTCACACACCACCCCACACACTCACACACCACCCCTCACACACACACTCACTCACACACCACCCCACACACTCACACACCATCCCTCACACACACTCGCACACCATCTCTCACACTCACAATAACACCATCACTCACACACCACCCCACACACTCACACACCATCTCTGACACTCACAATAACACACTCACTCACACACTCACACACCATCCCTCACACACACTCACACACCATCCCTCACACTCACAATAACACACTCACTCACACACTCACACACCACCCTTCACACTCACTCACACACCATGCCTCACACTCACACACTCACTCACACACCATGCCTCACACTCACACACTCACTCACACACCATCCCTCACACTCACACACTCACTCACACACCATGCCTCACACTCACACACTCACTCACACACCATGCCTCACACTCACACACTCACTCACACACCATCCCTCACACTCACACACTCACTCACACACCATGCCTCACACTCACACACTCACTCACACACCATGCCTCACACTCACACACTCACTCACACACCATGCCTCACACTCACACACTCACTCACACACCATCCCTCACACTCACACACTCACTCACACACCATCCCTCACACTCACAATAATACACACACACCATCCCTCACACACTCACTCACACACTCACTCACCATCCCTCACACTCACAATAACACACCACCCCTCACACTCAGTCACACACCATCCCTCACACTCACAATAACCCTCCGATACCAACACCATGTCTATTTTATATCCCTCACGCCAACTCTCACACTCACAATAATACACACACACTCACACACACCATCCCTCACACACTCACACACCATCCCTCACACTCACTCACACACTCACACACCATGCCTCACTCACAATAATACACACACACCATCCCTCACACTCACTCACACACTCACACACCATGCCTCAGACTCACAATAATACACACACACCATCCCTCACACACTCACTCACCATCCCTCACAGTCACAATAACACACCATCCCTCACACTCACACACTCACACACCATCCCTCACACTCACAATAATACACACACACCATCCCTCACACTCACAATACCACACCATCCCTCACACTCACACACTCACACACACCATCCCTCACACTCACAACAACCCTCCGATACCAACACCATGTCTATTTTATATCCCTCACGCCAGCTCTCACAAACAGAATCTCATTCACTCTCTCACAAAGACAAAGCTCCCCCGTGTAGCCTGTAACAGGCTGCAGGGGCAAGTGCTGTCAGCGAGCAGCACCTGTGAAGGCTACCGGCACTGTGGAACACGATAGGGGTGGGTGGCCAGCACCACGCCTGACCGCCTTTGTCTCCCTATTGGTGATGTTTTACACACCGCACCAGGTACTGGTTTGAGGCTGAGTCGACCTAGGGGAGGCCCAGGACGAGTTCAGATACTTGTCACTGGGTGTTGGTGGCCGTGAGTGGGAATCGAAATCGGGTGGTTCGTGGCGCAGCGCGACAACCGCTACACCACCGCTCCCACGCAGAGACACAGACACACACACACAGACACACTGCCACACACACACAGACACACACTGCCACACACAGACACACTGCCACACACAGACACACTGCCACACACTGCCACACAGACACACTGCCACACACACACAGACACACTGCCACACACACACAGACACACACAGACACAGACACACACAGACACACACAGACACACACACACAGACACACATACACAGGCACACACAGACACACTGCCACACACACACAGACACACACTGCCACACACAGACACACACTGCCACACACAGACACACTGCCACACACTGCCACACAGACACACTGCCACACACACACAGACACACTGCCACACACTGCCACACAGACACACTGCCACACACACACAGACACACTGCCACACACAGACACACTGCCACACACAGACACACTGCCACACACACACAGACACACTGCCACACACACACAGACACACACAGACACAAACACACACAGACACACACACAGACACACTGCCACACACAGACACACACTGCCACACAGACACACTGCCACACACACACAGACACACACACAGACACACTGCCACACACACAGACACACTGCCACACACAGACACACACAGACACTGCCACACACACAGACACACTGCCACACACACAGACACACTGCCACACAGACACACTGCCACACACAGACACACTGCCACACACAGACACACTGCCACACAGACACACTGCCACACACAGACACTGCCACACACATACACACTGCCACACACACAGACAGACACACAGACACTGCCACACACACAGACACACTGCCACACACAGACACACTGCCACACACAGACACACTGCCACTCACAGACACACTGCCACTCACAGACACACTGCCACACACAGACACACTGCCACACACACAGACACACTGCCACACAGACACACTGCCACACACAGACACACTGCCACTCACAGACACACTGCCACTCACAGACACACTGCCACAGATACACTGCCACTCACAGACACTGCCACACACACACACACAGACACTGCCACACACAGACACCGACACACACAGACTGCCACACACAGATACACACACAGACACTGCCACACACAGACACACACAGACACTACCACTCACAGACACACTTCCACACGCAGACACACACAGACACAGAGACACACTGCCACACACAGACACTCTCCCACAGACACACACAGACACAGAGACACACTGCCACACACAGACACACTGCCACACACACACACACTGCCACACACAGACACATAGACACTCGCACACAGACACACTGCCACACACACAGAGACACAGCTGACGCACCTTGACCCGGGCCCCACGCGAGCTGGCGGCGTGGCGCTGTGGCCCCTCTCGCCGCGCCCGTCGTGCGTCACGAGCCTCGCGGTGGCGGCGGCGGCGGCGGCGGCGCCATCCTCCTCCCTCGACTCTCTCTCTCGCTGCTGCTGCGGCTGCTGCTGCCTCCTTCCTCCTCCCCTCTCTCTCTCTGCCTGCCTCGTGCTCCTCCTGCTGCTGCTCCTGCTGCTGCTCCTCCTGCTGCTGCTCCTGCTGCTGCTCCTCCTGCTGCTGCGGCTGCTGCCTCCTTCCTCCTCCTCTTCTCTCTCCGCACTCCGCTCCCTGTAACTTCCACAGCGGGCTGCAGACGGCGCACGCGCGGGGAGGGGGGGTGGGCACGGGGGTCGAGGGGGGGGGGGGTGGGCACGGGGATCGAGGGGGGGGTTGGGCACGGGGGTCGAGGGGAGGGGGGGTGGGCACGGGGATCGAGGGGGGGGTTGGGCACGGGGGTCGAGGGGAGGGGGGGTGGGCACGGGGATCGAGGGGGGGGTTGGGCACGGGGGTCGAGGGGAGGGGGGGTGGGCACGGGGGTCGAGGGGGGGGTTGGGCACGGGGGTCGAGGGGAGGGGGGGTGGGCACGGGGATCGAGGGGGGGTTGGGCACGGGGGTTGAGGGGAGGGGGGGTGGGCACGGGGGTTGAGGGGAGGGGGGTGGGCACGGGGATCGAGGGGGGTGGGGCACGGGGATCGAGGGGGGGGTTGGGCACGGGGATCGAGGGGGGGGTTGGGCACGGGGATCGAGGGGGGGGTTGGGCACGGGGGTTGAGGGGAGGGGGGGTGGGCACGGGGATCGAGGGGGGTGGGGCACGGGGATCGAGGGGGGGTTGGGCACGGGGATCGAGGGGGGGGTTGGGCACGGGTGTTGAGGGGAGGGGGGGTGGGCACGGGGGTTGAGGGGAGGGGGGGTGGGCACGGGGATCGAGGGGGGTGGGGCACGGGGATCGAGGGGGGGGTTGGGCACGGGGATCGAGGGGGGGGTTGGGCACGGGGATCGAGGGGGGGGTTGGGCACGGGGGTTGAGGGGAGGGGGGGTGGGCACGGGGATCGAGGGGGGTGGGGCACGGGGATCGAGGGGGGGGTTGGGCACGGGGGTTGAGGGGAGGGGGGGTGGGCACGGGGATCGAGGAGGGTGGGGCACGGGGATCGAGGGGGGGGGGTTGGGCACGGGGGTTGAGGGGAGGGGGGGTGGGCACGGGGATCGAGGGGGGTGGGGCACGGGGATCGAGGGGGGGGTTGGGCACGGGGATCGAGGGGAGGGGGGGTGGGCACGGGGGTCGAGGGGAGGGGGGGTGGGCACGGGGATCGAGGGGGGGGGGGTGGGCACGAGGATCGAGGGGGGGGGGCACGGGGATCGAGGGGAGGGGGTGGGCACGGGGATCGAGGGGGAGGCACGGGGATCGAGGGGGGGTTTGGGCACGGGGATCGAGGGGGGGGTTGGGCACGGGGATCGAGGGGGGGGGCACGGGGGTCGAGGGGGGGCACGGGGATCGAGGGGGGGGGTTGGGCACGGGGGTCGAGGGGAGGGGGGTTGGGCACGGGGGTCGAGGGGAGGGGGGGTGGGCACGGGGATCGAGGGGGGGGGGGCACGGGGATCGAGGGGAGGGGGTGGGCACGGGGATCGAGGGGGGGGTTGGGCACGGGGATCGAGGGGGAGGGGGGGGCAAGGGGATCGAGAGGGGGGGTTGGGCACGGGGATCGAGGGGGGGGTTGGGCACGGGGATCGAGGGGGGGGGGCACGGGGATCGAGGGGGGGGTTGGGCACGGGGATCGAGGGGGGGGGGCACGGGGGTCGAGGGGGGGGGCACGGGGATCGAGGGGGGAGTTGGGCACGGGGGTCGAGGGGGGGGGCACGGGGGTCGAGGGGGGGGGCACGGGGATCGAGGGGGGGGTTGGGCACGGGGATCGAGGGGGGGGCACGGGGGTCGAGGGGGGGGGGCACGGGGATCGAGGGGGGGGTTGGGCACGGGGGTCGAGGGGGGGGCACGGGGATCGAGGGGGGGGGTTGGGCACGGGGGTCGAGGGGGGGGCACGGGGGTCGAGGGGGGGGGCACGGGGATCGAGGGGGGGTTGGGCACGGGGGTCGAGGGGGGGGGTGAGCACGGGGATCGAGGGGGGGGCACGGGGATCGAGGGGAGGGGGTGGGCACGGGGATCGAGGGGGGGGGCACGGGGATCGAGGGGGGGTGGGCACGGGGATCGAGGGGGGGCCGGCGACTAAGTGGTCACTCGTGTCCGGCCCTTGACCCTGAATAGGCGACTTAATTATTGTCAGACGGCGCACGCGTGAAGTCGCTCCCACTCCCCTCAATAACCCCCCCCCCCGTGTGAGGGGAGGGGCGGGGCCTACCAAAAAGGGGCGGAACTCAAAGAAGAAGGGGGCGTGTCTAAAAAGGAAAGGCGCAAGTTGCTGGAAGAGATGGCCAAATATCAGAATGTGAATCTTTATTTACAGCTTTAAAGTGCAGATTTCCAGTCGGGGCACGAGCTTCCGAACGTTACAACCACAAACAAGACAAAAAACAAGATAGGAATTAAAAGTATAGGAAAGGTAAACAAATACAAATTAAGGAAGGTTGTAAGGGGGGGCTAAGGGAAAAGGGGGGGTCATAAATAGGAAGAGGCGTGGCCTACAGAGGTTGAACTTGATTTCAGGTAATAAAAAGGCAAAGGAACAAATACGTGCATGGCTTTAGTGAGGTGGAACCTCTCGTTTGCACGGGTGTTGAGGGCGGAAAGTGATATCGTGCGCACGTAATGCAGTGGATACAAAATACGCTCAAACCTATAACTTACACTGTATACATATTCTTGGGTCTTTCGGTAAAGTCACGTAAATAAACTCCTTCAAAAAAGTTGTATTTAAAACAACGGTTTTATTACTAACAACTTCGTTTAACTCACGGTCGAGAAGTACGTCAATGATGCGGCGCCTGCTCCCACATCAACGCTTACTTGAATTAATTACACGGAGCAGGCATGCCTGAGACACGTGACGGCGATTCCAGAGTTTAGGGACCGCGGCGTTATTGACCTACCCAAATAAATATTTAATTAATAAGCCGCCCATACAAAATGTGAATTGCTTTAAAAGAGCCAATTAATTGATTAATTGATGCCGATTTTGATACAGGCATGCATTGTCACCGGATCTGAGTACCTGTGCAAAATTTGGAATTCATTGTGTAATACGAGAGTTAACCGACGGTCGCCGATCGGTGTGATAGGCTCCGCCGCCTCGGCCATCAGCCAATCGGAGGGATGCGCCGAAGTTCAAGGGCTCTTGTGGGTAACCATCCAGAAGGTTCGTTAGGGGGCGTGGCTGTAGGCGGGGCTTGGTGACGGACGTGAAGGGTTATAAGGGGAAGCCGGAAGGGGCTCGAGGTCAGTGTGTGGAGTCTAGAGGCGAGACCATGTCTCGCGCCTCCGGAACGCCAGGGGCCACGTGGCAGGCCGGAGGCTGTCTCCTTGCACACCGTCTGCCAGCGGCGCACAGGAGTGGGAAAGTGTGAGCGAGCCGTGCGCGGAGCGACAACATCTTACGCGCGGAACGAGAGTGGAGCGGTGTCGAAGTGAAGAGAACGCGGAACTGTCCAGCCGTCGAGAAATAAATAATAAAGAAGACACGAACTACAGATCGTCGTCGAAGTGGTTTATTACAATTGGCCAAAGGAAGTAGACAAAATTTGGATTATAAGATTTGACCACGACAAACATAGGAGTCAAGTTAAGTAAAACGTTTCGATCGCAACACAAGTGTAGTGACCAGTAGCGTCACTACTGTGTACACACGCACGCGTGTGACGTCACTATGCGGGGGAGCGTCACTACCACGCGGGTCTACCCATACACACATAACGTCATTCCGGCTGGAGGCGGGAATGATGTCAGGGTCGGTTTTGAACTCGGGAGGCCACGGGGGTGGTGTGAGGCCGTGGCACTCTCTGTGACCCCGGCTGGACACGTGACCGGATCCCAGTGGGGGCGGGGGGCCCGGGGGGCACCTTGGGGGGCACGTGGACAGCAGGGAGGCTGCGAGAGGGTTCTCGAAGGGAGGCGTGAACGGGGTGGGGCCCGGGCACGCCGAGGCCCATATAAGCAGCCTCCTCACGAGGTTCGAAGCTACCCGTATCAAGAAGGAAGATGCCTCGTGATGAAGACGTCAAGAAGAGTCAAGCCTCCAGTCAGCGCCTCGCCAGTAGCCCACCTGGCTGGGTCATGCTAGAGTATCTGAGAGTCAGTGCTAGAGAAGTGTGTGTGTTAGCTAGAGTAGGACGGTGGTTACCACTCTATGTAACGCGGCCAGTGTTGGTGTTAATAAATAGTGTTGCCTCCCAAGAAGTGTGTGCGCCTATTTGAGCCTACTACACAAGCAATCGTTTCTGATGACGATCGCTTGTGTTGTGATCGAAACGTCGTAGTTTTTTGTTATTTTTTGTTATTTTCTTTGAACCTATCTACGTGACTTTACCGAAAGACCCAAGAATATGAATTCCTGCAGTCATGAAAGCTTTAAGTCAAGATTTACACTGTATACCTTTGCAGAATGAACATCATAACACGGTAACACATGTACATAAGTCGATACATGAATAAACTCCTTTAAAAACTTTTATTTTAAACAACGGTTTTATTAACAACTTCGTTTAACTCACGGTCGAAAAGTACGTCAATGATGCGGCGCCTGCTCCCACATTAACGCTTATTTGAATTAATTGATTACTTTATAAATGATGATTCTTCAATGTACAACTTTTGTTTGTGTGGAGTGAGGGTGCCCGTAACTCGTTGACACAGAGCAGGCGCGCCTGAGACTCCTGGCGCCTGTTTCTTGGGCGAGGCGGTTAGAGAGTTTAGGGACCGCGGCGTTTTTTATCTAAACAAATATATATCAATAATAAGGCGTCCATACAAAATGTAAATTGCTTTAAAGGAGGGAATGAATTAATTGATACAGGCATGCATTGTCACCGGATCTGAGTACGTGTGCAAAATTTTGAATTGATTGGACAACGGGAAGTGGACCAAATGTAAGTTACAAGATTTGAACACGACACAGGAATCAAGTTAAGTAAAACCGTTGAAAAAAAAAATCTGCTTTCCAAAATCCGCGGGGGTGTAAGTCCAAAAATACATGAATTTGCACAGATTTTGGCTTTTTTGGAGACATCTACAATCTTCGAATATATTGCGGATTATAGCAGGTAAATCCATCCTTATAAAATTCACAAAGCACCGTGATGGGAACTATTGTTTTTTTTTCAAGTGTGCCGGG